CACGGGTGGCGGATGTGGGAATGGTCGGTGGAAATTCCTTGGAAGTTCCTCCCGGCTAAGTCCGATGGACTCGCTGACCAACAATGAGAGGGGCCCTCCAGACTTGCTGGAGGGAGGGGACCTCCAGACTTGCTGGAGGTAGGGGCCCACCAGACTTGCTGGAGGGTGTGACGTAGGATTGAACGCCCTACTCGCATATCTTTAGTTCACCAAACACCACAAAAATTCATGGATCTCCCTAAGGTAAAACGCTCATTATCCGGAGGTAAACTAGTCCCCCGTTCGGGTCTCCGGGTGGGGACTGCTTTAGGGGATTCATGGTGCAAGTTGAAATATAGGGATTTAAATATTGGTACGTGGAACGTAAGGAGTTTAAACACAGCAGGGGGGCTAAAATCGGTCGCGAATGAGGTAAATGGGTACAATTTGGATGTCGTGGCTCTGCAAGAGGTTCGCTGGCCAGGGGAGGGCTCGATGAGGGAAGGAAAGTACACTATGTGGTACGGAGGAAGCGGGAATCATTGTTTGGGTACCGGGTTTCTAATTAGGATTAGATTACTATCCGCTTTGAGGGACGTACAATTCTTTAGTGATAGAATTTCGGTAGCTACATTTCAGGGACGTTGGTTTAAAATCGCATAAACAAACATACATTGTCCGACCGAAGACAGTGACGATGAAGTCAGAAGTGAATTTTACGATAAACTCGAATGGGTTTATGATAAACTACCGCGAAACTACATGAAAATAATTGTAGGTGACGCGAACGCAAAGGTAGGAAGGGAAGAAGTTTATATTCCGACGATTGGAAAAGAAAGTTTGCACGAATATAGTAATGATAATGGGATCCGTCTGATAAACTTTGCCATCTCGAAAAACCTGATAATTAAAAGTACGACGTTTAAACACAAGGATATTCATAAATATACTTGGACATCACCGGATTCGCAAACACGAAATCAAATAGATCATGTCTTGATACAACATAGCTGGCAAAGCAGTATAATTAATGTACGGTCTTATCGTGGAGCAGAATGTGGGTCGGATCATGAATTAGTAATCGCGAAACTTCGACAAAAACTTAATATAAAAAAGAGAAAAGAAAACAGTTTCGATTTTGAGGATTTTAATTTGGAAAAATTAAAAAATCCATCAATTAGAAACCAATTCGAGCTAGATGTTAAGAATAGGTTTGAAGCTTTAGAGCTTCCTGACGAGGACCACGAGGATATTGACAAGTTATGGATAGAGATCAGGGATAATATTAAAGCGGTCGGTAACTCGTGTCTAGGAAAAAAGGAAAATAAGAATAACAAACCGTGATGAAGATTGATTAAAAATGTGCGAAAAAAGAAAAGCTGCTAAATTAAAAGCTCTAAATAATCCTAGCGAAGACAATATGGAATACTTCCGAATCTCAAAGAACGAAACGACAAAATTGCTCAAAAATAAAAAAAGGGAGTATCTTAAAAATAAAATAATTGAAATAGAAACTAATAGAATCGAAAATAACGTAGGAGACATGTACAAAGGTATAAACAGATCACGTAAATATGTAGGGCCCGTAACGTCTGGAATTAGGATTGATAATAACAATATTCTGACCGATCCGGTTGACATATTGAATAAGTTTAAGGACCACTTTGACAATATTTTAAATACGGGAAATTATGATCTGTGTCCTCCTTCTGAGTACCAGAGTGCTGAACCGTTAATAGAAGGACCAAGTAAAGAGGAAGTTGAAGTAGCTATCGGAAAATTAAAATCATACAAAGCAGCGGGAATCGATAATATTCCTACTGAACTAATTAAGGCATGCGGGGAAGCTGGAGTTTCTAAAATACATCGGTTGGTTAAAAAGATCTGGGTGAACGAGAAATTACCTGAAGAATGGAAAGAATCTATTCTTATTCCGATTCACAAAAAGGGCCCGAGGACGGATTGTAATAACTATCGAGGAATTTCACTCCTTCCAGTATGTTATAAAATATTCACTTTAATCTTAACCAGTCGAATCACGGAATACGCCGAGGAAATTATCGGAGACTACCAATGCGGATTTAGACGGAATCGTTCAACTATTGATCAAATATTTTCTTTACAGCAAATATTAGAGAAAAAATTGGAGTATAACGGTATTGTTCACCAGCTGTATATAGATTTTAAAAAGGCTTACGATTCTATTGACCGTCAGAAACTGTATAATATTCTAATCGAGCAGGGGATTCCAAAAAAACTAGTAAATCTAGTCAGGATGTGCTTGACGGAGACACTCAATAAAGTTAGAATCGGTAATAATTTGTCCGAAAAATTTGAGGTTCGTTCGGGCTTAAAACAGGGGGATTCTCTTTCGCCTGTCCTGTTCAATTTGGCATTAGAACATGCCATTAGGGAGGTAATGCAAACCGAGAAAGGGTTGGATCTGGGCGGGACAACATCCGTGCTGGGCTATGCTGATGATCTGGTACTGTTAAGCGAAGACGTTGAAACTATAAAACTAAATACGACAACGTTGATGAAAGCCAGTAAAGAACTAGGACTCGAAATAAACGTGGATAAAACAAAATATATGGTTAGCTGCAAAAATGGCGATACTACTGGTGATATCGTTATAGATGGTAATATGTTTGAACAGGTAGATAAATTTAGGTATCTAGGTTCTACGATAACTAGAAAAAACGAAATTGAAGAAGAGATTAAGGTTAGACTGAAGGCGGGGAATGTTTGTTATTTTTCTGTGACAAAACTACTTAGTTCGCGCCTCTTGTCCCGAAACTTAAAAATTAGAATCTATAAAACAATTATCTTGCCTACAGTTCTTTATGGATGCGAAACTTGGCCGCTTACATTAAGGGATGAGCAGCGTCTTAAGGTTTTTGAAAATAAAGTATTGCGTAGAATATTCGGACCGAAGAAGGATGAGTTAACCGGAGAGTTCAGACGGTTACACAACGCTGAATTGCGTGAGCTCTATCCGGGTAATATAATTGAAGTAATTTCATCGCGGCGAATCAAATGGGCTTGTAAAGTTGTTGGGCTTAGTAACGAGAGAATTCCTAAAAGGTTAATATTTGCTGTGCCGAATGGTAAGCGTCCGAGGGGTAGACCAAAGCGAAGGTGGGAAGATTGCATTAAAGCCGATCTGAAGGGACTGGGTTTGGACGGCGAACGGTGGAGGGAGGTGTGTAACAAGCGATTGGTGGTGTCGGCATCGAACCTTCGGGTTCGCTAAGCCTTATTATTATTATATTATTATTTATCGCTTCCTATTCAATGAAAAACATGATCTATATAAAAAAGCACAAAACTTGGATTTAATACTTTTCTGCTGAAAATTGGCCCATTTTTTTGTATCCCCTAATGTTTGCTATCACTCCTATGAAAATTTCCCTCTACTTATGGGACACCCTGTATATTATCTCTTTTAATATTTTCAGAAATAGTGTTGACGCCAACATGAATAATTTTATTGTTTATTTTCATCATATCAAAATATGGGGGTCAATTTTATTTTGATTATGAATAACATATACTATGTATTTTATTTAAGTTTTTGTTTTCATATGGAACATATTATATGGAAAATATGTTTATTTACATATGGGCCTTTTATTTATATATATAATTACATTAAATATTATATGTAGAAGCTCTTAAATATTTCGTACACAAAGATGTCCCAGCGACGATGTTTTCGGCCAGTTCTGGGTCAGCCCGCCTCTCGTCATATCACTTAATACCAGAGGTAAAAAGAAAACATTGGGAAATTAGTATGGCTGCTGGCAGCAATGGGTGTGGGACTGACCCTATGACGTTCTCCGTCCCGTCACAATGTACTTGGCAAACCCAATGGTTTCATCTTACTAGGTGGTGATGGCGACTTCCCCCCTCTGGGAAATTATTCTGCAGGAGAACTCTCGTCAGGTGCAACACGTAATATGGGCCGGCTGGAGATTGCATTTTATTTTAATGTATAAACAGTTTTAAGGTGAGTGGCGCCCCTCTAAAAACAGTTAATGACCAGTTTCAATGACTAAGAATAAAAAAAATTGTTTTCATAGATTTGCATCTCACGTTTAGGTTGCACATGTACTTGTACAATAGTTCATTTTATGGTACCTAGATTTGTCTATAGTCTAGTGGCTAGCATCCTAGACTTTATTAGTGAATAAGCCTGGTTCAAGACCGATTTCACTTATATTATCTTTTTTTTGTTTTATTATATAAAAATATTAATTTAAAAACTATATACATTTATATATATAATTTTATGTACAATAGTTCAATTGACTTTAACATTTGAATTAAATTAAATTCACTTTCATTAAATGGTTAATTAAATCTCATAGATTTGCAAATTTAATTTTAACGTTATTTCTATGTTAATGATTAAAGTAATATTTTATCTCTATCATTTATTTCATTATTTTGTGTTAAGAGAAATATTATTAATTTATTATTTCATGCATTAATTTGTAGCATTTCATTTCATTTGTTTATTATTATCAATACACATATATTTTCTGCTATTCCACTTTTTTATACATACTTATCCTCAATGGATTTCTTTTTTTAATATTTTAACAATTAACAATTAATTAATTAATAAGGCAATAACCAGTGCTTATGGATTTGATAGTGCAGATTCGGTGGTTCACTTTTGAATGCCAGCTGCCTTCACAAATAGTAAGACGTTAAAATTGGAATAGCACAAGAAATACCATAAAAATATTATTACTAATAAATGTTTCATAATATAAATATATGAAACAGGGCAAAAAAGAACATGAAGGATCTTAATGAGTATAAAAAGCTCAACAGATTAGGCAACCTCTCTTTCTTTAAACATATTTCTTCACTAATTATTACACTATAATTACATATTGATTCATTAATATATTTTTTTTAAAGTTTATAAAAACTGTCACATCTATATAACATAGAAGTCTATTCAAAATATACATAATTATTACAGTATCACTATCAACTAAACACCTTACCTGTTGGGACTTTAAGGTATTGGCTATTAATGTGACAGAATCATCAACAACAATATCATTTTTTAAACTGCTTTCTAGACCTGACAGTGATATATCTATGATATTTATTAATTTTTGTGAAAACTTTTTTTCTAATGTGAAAAACAGTGATATTGGTATTTCTCCCATTTTCAATTTTGAATCATCTTCAAATTCTTGCTTAATCATTTTTCTTCCCTGGAACAAAAGTTATTATTGGAATAAAATAATTAAAAACAGTAGAAAGTATATAACTTTAATTTAAACTATAGTCCGTGATACAGACCTCTTTTTATCAAATCATTAACATACGTCTAAAACTTCATCATGAATGGCTTCAAATTTTTTATCTATGAAAATTCTTAGAAATGGGGCTTTTTCTCATTAAATTAATTAATTTAATGAGGAACTAAAAACTCGTTAATATCCATTTTTTTTTTTTTTTTTTGCACTTGCTTCACTTCACTTCAAGCTTTTCACTTGAATAGTAAAACAATTTGACCACGAAGTAAAGAAAAAAAGATGACCTTCAAAAATATTGGGCGGTTTGGCCTATATAACCTAGTTTTTTTGACATGAAGGGGCGTGGAGGTCATGCCAAATGGCCCAATATTTTTGTAGACCACCTTTTCTCTTAATATTGAGATTAAATTATCTTACGATTCAAGTTGAAAGCAAATAGGTGTTCATGAGTTTTTAGAACCTCATTAAATAGACGAAGATGACCAATCTCCAGATTGAAAATTCACCATTTCCAGAAATTTTTATAAATAAAAAAGATGTAGGTTACGATAAAATGAAGCCATTCACAAAATTTCATATTTTGAGGATTGAATTGGTCAGATAAAACTGCATGCACAATCATTTAACCTAGAAATCAGATAAACATTGTGCTCAATATTTTGGTGCAGTTCTCTTACAGAATTATAAGTAAAAAAAAAAAATAAATAAATAAAAGGAAAATTTACTAAAAGAATTTCAATAGTTATTATTTTTATAACTGATAATATTGAAGAAGAAGAAAGGTTTTTCCCATTTCTTATTAGATTAAAATACTAATAATCATAGAAAATAAGGATGTTGGAAAAATATGTTGATATTTTTGTACCACAGTTTTAGTATTGATCTATAATATCAATATTAAAAACAGATATTCTTCTCCTCCCCACAAAAAATAAATAAGTAAACAAAAAATAATATGGGAAGAAGAGAAAGGACTTTCGGAGTGGAAGAATGAGCTCATTGTGAAAATTCCAAAGAAAGGTGACATCCCCGAATGCACCAACTGGCAAGGAGTCACACTGTTTCCTGTACTGAGTAAGATGCTAAACCAGGTGATCCTGAGGAGGATCAAACAATCAGTTGAGAAACCAGAGGTTGAGGTTGAGAAACCAGAGGAAGAAAGGAAATAGAGTGAAGCAGGCATTCATACTATCACCAACATTATTTATCATTGTTCTTGATTATATTATGAGAGCAATGCTTGGAGGAAGAAGATGCGGTATTCAGTAGGGACTAAGAGAGAGACTTGACGGATGGGGAGGGAGAACCTTGACTTTGCGGACGATCTCCATCTTCTAATGCAGAGGTTCAGTGACTCGTAATGCAAAGTTGGATACACTTAGCCAAATCATAAGCCGGGTAGGACTGCAAATCAACTTAGACAAGTCAAGAGATGAGAAAGAATGAGCAATGCCGAGAGCCTCTTCTCCTGATGTGTGAGATTGTGGGACAGATTGACTCCTTTGTCAATCTGGGAAGCATAGTCACAAAAGAAGGTGGCTCAGCAAAAGATGCAAAAATCTGATAAAAAAGGCCCTGAACCGAAACTTATCCAAAAACATGAAAATATGGCTTTTCAACACCAACGTGAAATCGGTTCTGCTTTATGGCTGTGAAACACAGAAAGTAACCAAAAGCATCCCCTGCCCGCTACAGACCTTTGTTAACAGATTTCTGAGAAAAATACTGGGGATTTGGTGGCCATTGCGCATATCAAATGGACTGTGGGAAGCCACCATCTAGCTACCATTCCATTTAGAGATAAAGAAGTGAAAATGGATATGGGTATGGCACAGGAACTCTAAGGGAAACCGAAGGAAAGGCAGCAGACCAAGAGAGATGTGTAGCAGGTCCGCAGAGAGGGAATCAGAGCCAATCGTTGGCAAATCGTGGAATAGGGCAAAAAGGATTGCTGCTGAAAGACAAATAGAATGCACTCATGGATGCCCTATGCTACAGTGGGAGTGAAAGGAATTAATAATAAACAAAAAATAAAATAAAGAATGTCTAGAAGAAAAGCTGCCTCATAGGAGAGCTCATAAAAATTATAGGTTATTTTATTTTATTCTTTAAGTTGATCAATTTAATTCATTTCTCTCTAGATCTTCTTTCTTTCTTAGAAATAAATCTTTTAAATAATAAATGTTAATACTTTACTTTATTTAAACATGTTTAAGCTGTTTAATTAATTTTTTTTTGTCTAGTTCTTAGTAATATCTTTTAATGACTTTTATCAAACAATATGTTAAGAGTTAGAAATAGTGGATGGAAGGATCCAACCCCCACTCCCTCGCCTCACCCCATTCTTGTTCCACCCATTGAACAGGATAGATGCATCGTTTGTCGTTTCTGGAAAGCTACAGAGGTAACATGTACAAAGTCATTAAGGGGGCATAGACCAAAATAAGACCATCTTCAATTGAATTCACATTAGTAGATAAAGAATAGGGAGCAGTATAAGATCGGAACTAACAGAAAGACAGTACCAAGAAGCAGTAATAGATACTATTAATTTAAATTTTATTTTTTTATTTCATTTATAAATATGGTATTAAATTCAATAGAATATCTGGTGTATTGATCAATGTCATTTATTTGATCCTTAGTAATTCACAGTCCACGAACCAGTTAAGCCCTCAGCATCCATAAAATTTATCATAACATATAAAAATTATAATTCAATATTTTTATTTATTCAATTCATTTTTAATAATATCTGAATTATATACACATTATTGACAACTGTTGAAACATTTATATGATTTTTGCCCTTCTAAGTGGTTTCTTGTCTACTATTGAGGCATTAACTGTTGTGTAGTGGCTTCCTGAGGATTACTTTGAGCTACATGCCCTGCCCATCTTAACCTCCTGGCCTTCGTATCATAAGATATTGATTGGACAGTTTCTGTAAGCAGTTCTTAGTTGATCTTTCTCCTTCATGCCTTAGTACTCTGATCCCTATTATCATGTGTATGATATTCCTCTTGAATCATTCAATATTTCTTTCTAGGGAGCTGGTTAGTGTCCAGGTCTCGCAGTAGTATTTCAAAACTGGCTTTATCACAGCATTGTACACCCTTAATTTGATTTTTTTTTTTTAATTTCAGTAACTTATAAAGAGAAAAGAAAGTTCTTTTTGCACTTGTTATACGCTGGTCTATTTTTGAACATACAGTAAAATAAAAAACATGCTGAGAAACTTATAAATTCAAATAATTAGACAATTTATATACATGCAGACCCTTAATTATTTTCCTTTGTACAAACCATTCTGAACACCCCATCATTCAAACAACAGGCATTAACATAATAAAGTTTGTCCCATATATAGGCTTTCTTTTAAGGGTGAAAGAGGTCTTGGAACCTATATTGCAAAAAAGCACCCCAGGGAGGCTAACAGCAATACACTGAGGGGCATAGTGGAAAATATTATAGGTCCTAAAAATGGAGAGGGTGAGGTATCAAAAATAAAAGAGGAGATTATTGGATGGTCTACGGTGTTCAAGAACCTCTCAAAAGAAAGCACGATAAATATTGCGGATTTTGATGAGGCCGTAGGCAGGTTCCTGAAATTTCGCAAGAATATCAATGCGGAACTGCCAGGTCCCCAGCACCCAGCCGTCAAATTTTACAGATTGAGAAAAAAAATAAAACTAAAGTGACTGACAAGGGTGCTGGACAAGTCTCAAATCCGCAAAGAACCAACAAAGTAGACATGAGTTGTCGGCAAGAACAGTGTCAATATGAGGTTGCACAATATAATTACTATAATAAAAGGAAAAAGGTCGTGCAAACCGTAATGAATGCCGACGCTCCTAAGCGGTGTCCTCTGAAGATGGCCGATATCGAAAAACATTATAGAGACCTCTTTGAGAGCGAAAATCTCCGCAGGCGTGCGGAATACGAACAGTGCGCCCCGATGCCAAATTTGGTGTCCATTGATCTAGAAGCCGTCAAGAGAGCCATTAAATCAACATCAATGGACACATCACCGGGGCCTGATGGAGTTCTGATCCGCACGATTAAATATTTTGATGTAGCAAATATTATCAAAGCAATTGTGGAGATAATGCTGAAGGTGGCCTATGTCCCAGAACCACTTCGACAAGGGCGCACAATACTAATATATAAGGGGAAAGGTGATGTAAACAAAATCCCTTCCTGGAGACCCATCACCATTTATTCTATTGTGCGCCGAATCATAGAGGTTCTGGACCATGAACTAAGAAAGTAGGTCACCTTCCACAGGAATCAGAGAGGCTTTATAAAAGGCCTCCCGGGAACGCACGTCTACGCAAGGATTATCGACGCTATATTAAAAGATGCCAAAATTATGAAAAATGATTGTGCGGTAGTCTTCCTTGACGTTGTCAGTGCTTTTGACAATGTTGGCCATAAACACATCGTGAGCTCCTTAGAAGCAAGAGGTGTGTCACCGGATCTTAAACGTGTTATATCTCCTCTGCACCAACACAATCAAAATTACTAACGGTGTTCACGCAACTAGCCAAATCAAAGTGCTGCGCGGGGTACCCCAAGGCGGCCCCTTGTCGTCGTCTCTCTTCAACCTGGCCATCGACCATCTCTATCGCGACCTGTGCGATGAAGAATTTTCCAAAAAATTTGGATACAAGTTAAAAAGTGACCAAGGTTGTATGGTCCTCACAGGTTTCGCAGATGACAAGGCCGTGTCAGCGCGTGACAAGGGGGCTGCAGAAAGAGTGATCGGCAGCGTTCAGAGGACTTTTGAGGAAATTGGTTTGGCTATTAATCCTCAAAAAAGCGTGGGCATCATTCTAAATAAAGGAGAGCTGGAAACAGCGATGCTATTCCTTGAGAACGGAGAGTACATCCAAACATTGCAGAATGGAGATACAATCAAGTATTTAGGATGTACATTCTCGGGAGAGCTACAGTTCAACGAAGATTCGGTGACCAAATTGAACGAAAATCTGAATAAAATGGTAACCTCTCCCTTGCTGAAGCCGGAGCAGAAGCTAAACATTCTCAACCAATATCTGTTCCTGGGTCTTACTTACCCTTTCCAAACTGCGCCCCTCACAAAGCTGTGTCCTGCCATACTTGACGGCATCGACACCAAGATTCACAGGAGTGTGAAGGCTATTGTTGGACTCCCTGCGAACACCTCCACGGCGATATTTGATTATTCGGCTGAGGTTGATGAATGTGCCGAGAGATTGGGGGTTGATCGGGGTATTCGGAATATGAGAGCTCTACGGCAGTCGCTTCGAGAAAATTCGTTTGAGGAATGGACCAATTGCAGGTGGCAGGGCATTGGAGTTCGTCATTTTAAAGAGATCCCGAAAGCCAATAAATACATGTATGATAAGCAAGTACTTTCTGGGTCTGAGTGGTCAAATGTCCTGAAACTAAATATTAATTATGCACCCCTGCGTGGAGTCCCAGGTGTCAGCGGACAGGTAAGAGAAGTTGGGTCCCTCTGTCGCAAATGCGACAGAGAGCCAGAAACAACAGCACATGTGCTTGGAAAATGCCCCGACAACTCCCTCCTTATAATGCGCCGTCACCACAGAGTCAAACATGAACTGATGAGGCTCCTTAAAGAGAGAGATTACGCCTGTTTCGAGGAAGTATATTGTATAGATACGGATGGATCCACCTGATATGCTGACATTGTAGCATTCCCTAAGACGGGAAAGTCGGCGATGATTTTGGATCCCACCGTGAGATATGAGACCAACGACCTCGATCAGGCAGGAAAAGTGGAAAGGGAGAAAAAATAGACATATGAGAAATACATCCCTTTCCTTAGTGAAAAGTTCCACAAGAGTTTCGGGCCGAGAGAGTTCCACGTGAGAGGCCTTTGATTCGGAGCTCGCGGAACGATACCAGACTCAACAAGGAGCTTCATGGAGGGCCTTGGTGTCGACATAAAGGACGTGGCAAGGTTGGCAGAGAATATAATCCTTGACTCCCTGGGAATTATCCATCACCATGTGCATGGATAGAGAGTTTGTTCATGGGGGGAGGCATGCGTGTTTTACAGCATTTTTACATTATTTATTGACCACGTCCACTGCACTTTATGTATTTGTATGCATGTTATGAATTAGGTTAGGAAAAGAGAGGAGAAAATCTAGGGAACGAGAAAAATGTATAGAGTGAGAGAAGGAACAGAAAGGGATGTATAATGCTAATAAATGAATGAAAGAAATAGTAAAAATAAAATAAATAAATAAATAAAAAAATAAATAAAAATATAGGGAAAAAAATTATGATAAAAAAAATATATATATAGATAAAAAAAAAAATGTATATTATGCTCATACATGTTGTTAATACTATATAATTGTATATTAGTTTTGGAAAATTGTCTGTAGCGATTAATAAGTATGCTGTGTTTAAAGCAACCCAATGTAATTGGGCAGCACCCTTTTATGATAATAAAGTGATTCTCTCTCTTTTCCATCTTGACTTAATGAATATTTTTAATTTATAATATTTTGATGTGCATGAATTTTTCATGTCTCATTTTCACTATTTTTTCCCCTTTTTTTCCCATAGTTTAATTTTGCACGTTTTCCCCCCACTTTTAATGAATTTGTATTTTAATTTTGAAATACCCCTGGTCCCAACAAGTAGAAAAAAGGCCTTTTTAGTCTTGATAAAAATAACTTTATTTTAAATTTATCCAAATTTTTGCCTCTTCAGGCATCTTCAGAGATAATCTGATTTTATAAGTAATTCAAGTTCTCATTCGCTTTATAGCAGTGCACCCACTTGCACAGTGGCCAATGTTGGCAACTCCTCTCCTCCTTGAAGGATTGGTCTCATTTGGTTTTGTTCTGTGACTAAGTGTGCAAGTGGATGCACAGTTATAAAGCGAATGAGGAGTTGAATTACTTATAAAATCAGATTATCCCTGAAGAGACAAAAATTTGGATAAATTTAAAAAAAATTTATTTTTATCGAGACCATAAAGTCCTTTTTCTACTAATACATAATATAGTCTCTTTCCCAAGAATCATCTTTTATGAAAAAAAAAATATTGCTATTAAAGCCTCACACTGAACCAGGCAGTAGACGGAGAGCATATTAAGAAGAAGAAGAAGCTATTAAAGTTATACAAATCTAATACTTCAATTCAATATTAACCCTCTTCCCCTTTTTAGATCTAAAACACGGAGACCTGAAAAATGGATGGTTTTAATGATATTTTGATATTTTTATTTGAAATTTACATTACTTTTTTCAAACATTACAAATATTACGACATCAAATATATTGATACTTTTTTTGATATACTGAATTACTATTTTGATATATTTGAAAAATATCAATACAATGTATATTGATACTTTATTTAATAATTACATCCTTGATATAAAATAAATGAGATACAGAAGAACTGAACAGAAGTAATAATCTACCTGTATAAGATTTTTCCAAAATTTAATGAAGGACAACAACACTGCAGAATTTTCCTGTTTTGAATTTCTCATTTCACTAAAGCATTTGTCTTCTTCATTCAAAGCTAGAATGTGAAATCATTAATAAGTAAACATATTTTGAATGATTAAAGTGGATAAAATTTTCCAAAGGAAGATGATAAAAATTGAATCATGTAAAACACTTCATCTGTTCAAATATTATAAATGAATAATAATTATTTCCTAATTAATAGGTACCAAGAAGTATGAATAAATTGCTTCTAAAAAATAATAAAATCATAATTCTTAGTTAATTCTGTTGAATTGTAACATGGCCTTGAATTTAAGATGGCCTTTTTTTCAAAAAATTTGAATTTTTGATCGAGGATACATTTGTTTTTTTTTTTTGGATTCCTTAAATATCTGAAAACAGATGATCTATGAAAATTCCCTCTTTCCAGTATTTATTTCATCATATTCTTTACCAGATCAACAAAATAACTCTTGTAAAAACTAATATTAGACGTCTTTAAATTCAAATGTCTTATATTAGATGTAATATGGTAAAATTAATAAATTATGGTTATTATTCCAATAACATTAAGGACCAGACTAAGACATTTTATTTATTTATTTAAAGCAGATGATGTAATAAAAACCATTATACTAGACTGTGGGCCAGACTCCTCTACCGTGCATCCTCCCGCTTCTCCCCCCTCCCCACATCCCTATAAATTTCATATCGCTTTGTTCCTTGTAACTATTTATGAAAAAAAAGACAATATTCACACAAAAAAAAGTGAACGTACTGCCCAAAATGGCGTCAAAACTATATATTAAATATGGTGGACTGACGACTTTGACTTGAGTTAGTTTTTTGGTCACTGAGAATCAACATTTAGCTTGATTTCGTCACAATTGGTCTTTTATTAAAACTAGATTGTCAGAGAATAATAAAACATTAAAAAATAATTGGCTTAGGCATTATCCATTAAAGATTTCACTACAAGGCACCTTGGATGGGAGAATGATGACAGGATTTACATTGCTGAAGATATGTCACCTGGAAACAAACATCTTTATTGGCTTGCTAGGCAGAAGAGAGGCCCAGTAAAGCCAAATATGTCTGGTTTGCAAGAGGACGTGACAGTTGCCGATGCAAGGATTGTCAACCGGTAATAATCATAAATAAAGCAGATCTTGATGTATTCCAATGACATATATTCAATCGTTATGGCAAACATACTCTTTTATTTTTCTTCTGTTATTTATTTCGTTATATTTACTCCACTTATTCATTATATAATCTTAGATTTATACCATTCCTTTTTTTAATATCTATATTCTTAGGAAATATTGTATATTTACTCAAAAACATACACTTCTCCTTGTACTTAAAGACTGATTTCTGATAGACAATATGCTCTCTCATATGACTAATATCCTATTAACTTGAATGAATGAAAAAATATTTTATTATTCTGGGACTGTTGTCCCTTTAGGACAAATTATAAACACAGATTGTATGTCTGTGTGATTACAATTAGATTATATATTTACAATATGGGTTGACTAAAAATAAAAATACTGAAGAAGAGAAAGGAATGAAAAAGAAAATTGTACATATATATGAGAAACTAAAATAACCTAATTGAGATAGTCTTTGGGGGTGCTTAGATATTTCTCTTAAGTATATTTCACAATCAGTCGGATTGAGAAAGGAGTAGGTGTTTAAAGAGGAGAGGTTTAAAAGAGGAAACTGATTGAGCGTGTCGAATATCAGCAGGAATGGAATTCCAGAGGGAGGCGGCTTGTATTGCAAAGGATTTGTCAAAGGCTGCAGGTCGGTGAGGAGGAGGATAGAGGTCGGAATTACAAGATCTAGTGGGATGGCATTGGATGGAGTATTTGAATTGTAAGATGCGAAAAAAATTTAGGAGGGTCGATGAGTTCTAGTGGTTTGGTACAGAAAGGTGACTAGGAAGTACTGACGGCGATAGGATGGGTAGAACCACCTCAACTCAGTGTAATACTGGGTAATATGCGTATCCCTTGAGATTCCGAAAATAAATCGTAGTGCGCAATTCATTAGGCGTTTAAGTTTGGCCTCGGAATCTCCCGAGAGTCCACCGTACACCATACAGCCATAGTCGAAGTGGGGGAAAACTAGGGAGGAAACTAGGAGTTGACGGGACTTATATGGAAGGAGATATCGTAGACGATTGAACTGTTTTAGGGTGGAGATAGTGCGACAGGAAATTTGTGAGATGTGAGGTTTCCAGGATAGGGATTGATCGAAAGTAACACCTAGGTTTTTAACGGTGGTGTGGAATAAGATAGGTGAGTTGTTCAGAAGGAGATTGGGAGATACCGGGGAGGATTTGAGAAGTGAAGGGGATCCGATCAAGATGGCTTTTGTCTTCTCGGCGTTCAGAGTGAGCCTATTGAGGTTTGACCAAGCACTTATTCTGTCAATGTCTTCCTGAAGTTTTAGAGTGGCATCTGAGATATCTGTCGGATTAAAGGAGAGGTACATTTGAATGTCGTCGGCATACAGGTGGTATTGACAGTGCAGGATAGAGGATGGGAGGTCATTTATAAAGATGGAGAAAAGGGTGGGGGATAAGGAAGAGCCTTGTGGGACGCCTCTGGTCAGAGGTAGAGATTCTGATGGTGGGTTATTAGGAATTACTACGTACTGGGAGCGACCGGTAAGGAAGGATTGGAACCAATTAAGGGAACTAGAAGAAAAAAAGATATTTTTAGGAGGATGGGATAGGAGGATTTTGGTTAGGAGGATGTTGTGGTCTACTGAATCCAAAGCTTTGGAGAAGTCTAGGAGAATAAGGATGGTTAGTTTCTGCTGATCTATGGCTGTGTGAAGGTCTTGGAAAATTTTGATTAGGCCTGCTGCTACCTTGATTGTTAATGAAATCAGAGAGTCGATGATGAAGAAAAGAGACGCTACTAGGAAGTGTTTCATAAGAATGTGAAACCCGTACAACTAGATTTCATTCAAGATCCTTAGAAACCACACCCAATCTTCCTTATACTGTGCGAAGGCTCATACTCTCGCTCTCGTCCTCATACCGCATTCCGGAAACTTCTTTCAACCCTGAAAATTTCTATATTAGAAATATTTCACCCGAGGACCTTTTTTGTTCTATCCTCAAATCCAGAAGGAATGATTATGGTCCTGATCAAATCTCAGTGAAGTTATTCAAAATATGTCTTCCTGCCCTTTTGCATATCTACAATTTTTCCTTAAAAAATTCCAGTTTCCCATCTGCTTACAAAAAAGTCATTGTACATCTGCTGAGCAAAATCCCGGTTCCCTCCAAAGTTTCAGACTTAAGACTTAGACTATCTCCATTCTTTCCAATCTTTCAAATCCACTTGAAAGACTAGTCCATTTACAGCTAAACAGGTTCCTAGAGCAAAAAAATCTCCTTAATCCTCTCCAATCTGGTTTCTGATCCCATTTTTCCACTCAACCTGCATTGTTAAAAGTCACTCAAGACCTTCAATTCACCGTAGACAAACAGAAAATCTCTGTCCTGGTTCTCTTTGATTTTTTAAAAGCATTCAATTTAGTTAATTATGAAATTCTTCTAGCCACACTCCAAAATCTCTCCTTCTCGAATAATGTTTTAATGTTGCTTCATTCCTTCTTTTCTCTTAGATCCCAAACAGTCGTCATTCCCAATAAAGCTTCTACATCATCCCTCTTATTAAGTAGTGGTGTTTCTCAGGGATCTTCCCTTTCCATATCAACGATCTTCCTGATTCCATCCATCATTCACAATATCACCTATATGATGACGACCTCCAGATCTACCAATCCTTTCATCCTTCAGAGATGCTAGAGGCGACCCAAAGGCTTCAAGAAGACATACACAATATCAACGCATGGGTAGGTAACAATGATCTGAGGCTGAACATTGAGAATACCAAAGCCATTCTCATTGGGTCTAAGCATCTTCTTAATTCCCTTTCTTATTATCCCCTTCTCTATCATAATGGCCAACTTATCCTCTTCCTCACTTCAGTTAGAAACCTGGGGGTAATATTTGATCAACTCTTGTCCTGAAATCACAATGTTTCCCAAATCATCAGAAAATCTATCACTACTCTTAAACAGTTCCTGAGATTCCATGATTCTATCCTTTTAAAAACCTGTCAGCTTCTAGTTTCCTTTCTTATTTTTCCCAATTTCAATTATGGCTGCCTTGTAGATTGCTATTCAAGTTACACATAGGAACTGTCTTCAGCTTGAAGCAGGTAATAGAGAGGTCCATCAAGAGAGGGAAATAACTCTCTTTCCATATAGTGAATTAGCTCTTCTGAAATGCAAGTAGATATTGGCACAATCCAAGGTGTGAGGCACAAAGCAGATGGAGAGCTATTTTGTTTTCTCAATGGACTTCTCTATAATCTGCATTATAGTGAAGATTGTTCCAATGTGCATCTTGATTTTCTAAATCCATATCGTTCAGGCAATCGAAAATAATTCTTATTTTACCTTCTATGATTTTTGAGTAGAGCTTCTTTGGCACACTGAACAGAGATATAACTTGATGGGTATTACATTTTTTGTTACCTCCTTGCTTGTAAAGGGACACAATTACAGTCCTATAGTATCATTTTCTAATGGAAATATTAAAAAAAAATATGGAAAATAAAATAAGATGGAAAAAGATGAAAAATATATCACGAGCAGCATTTCAAGTAACTTCGTCCAGACCTGCAGACCTGACAATTACTACATACTCATATCACCACTTTTCCACCGATTAAGAGCATTTTATATGAAACATCTTTAAATATTTTGTAAAAGAATCAGTGTTTTAGAAAAAGAAATATATTTTCCAGAGGTTTTATTTCAAGGCGTTTTTTGTTATTGTTGGCCGTTTAATTATAAACGACAATTTATTTTCCGCTTGAACATTTTTTTTTTTAAATTCACTTTACTGGTGTTTTTTATTGACTAAGCCAATTATTTTTTAATGTTTTATTAGTCTCTGACTATCCAGCTTTAATAAAATACCAATTTTGACGAAATTAAGCTAAATTCTGATTCTCAGTGACCAAAAAACTAACTCAAGTCAAAGTCGTCAGTCCCCCATTTTAGGGCAGGTCATTAACTTTTTTTTGAGGGAACATTAATTTTTTTTTCATAAATAGTTACAAGGAATACAACGATATGCAATTTATAGGGATGTGGGAGGAGGAGGGGAGGGGTGCACAGTAGGGGGGTCTGGCCCACCGTGTATATGACATTGTTCAATATTTATACATTTAAAAAACCTGTACCATTACTACTTATGAAGGGTCTTGCATCCAGTATTTTGTAAGGAAGTACTATTTATAGGCCAAAAGTTGTGCAAGGAGCTAATTTGTTCTGGATCATGTTCAACCACCAGGTTTTATCAAAATCACTATGAGTAGTATTTTATTTTAAATAAATATAAAATATTTGAAAATATTCCATAAAAAATGAATAATTAAAAATTTCCATGAAGAAAAGCTAAAAAACTGTGAAATTCAGTTCTAAAAATAATGATTAATTGTTCCATGCTTGTATAGAAAATTGTTTTTTTTTTCAGTTAAGAATGGTGTACTTCTTCTAACGTAAAAATTAAATTGAGATAGGAAAAGAAATGACACTGTCTTGATTTATTTATCATCATAAGTATTAAATTAGAAACAAATAAAAAAGGTGAATCAATAAAATAAAATTATTATAATTTACCTTTCAACTGCAAAATAATGCTCAAACTAGCTTCACGTTGCCAAATTCTATTGGCATTTTTCGGTAAACCAAAATATTCAGGGTTATCTGTATCTGGTATATTTTTAATTATATCTAAATGTTCCTGGAATAAAATAAAATTAATACAGTTGATAGATAAAAATTAATACCTAGTTCTGCCATAAATACTGTTACAAAAGTTGAACTTTATTTACATCCTTGGATATTATTTAGATAATCCTTACCTCTATCAGGTTATTTTCTTTCATGTCAGGATAATAATCCCAATTAGTTTGTATTTTTCTTTTGCTCAGTTAACATGGAGTGGGGTGATAAAGAAAACCGAATAGCAGTGATCGCCTAACACAAAATTGGAAAATGTAGGGCAGAGATTTTCAACACTTTGAAATCTTTGGGTATCAGCTATATGTCCGTGTACCGCACTATAAATAGATATAATGAGACCCTATCTGTATGTGACAGACCTCGACCGGGCCATCCCCACACTGTGAGAACGGAAAATGCAGTGAGAGCAGTGGCTGCTCGAATCAGAAGAAATCCCATTCAAAAACAACAAATCATGTCTCGGGAAATGGAAATCTCTGTCAGATCAATGTCTCGCATAATAAAAAGTGACCTTAGGATGGCTGCATTTCGAAGAATGACAGGAAAAAGGCTAACCAGTTTCCCAAAAAAAATTAGAGTGGATAGATGCAAAGTGCTCCTTGGCCGTTACACCAATGGTCTTCATCGAAAGATTTTGTTTAGCGATGAGAACATTTTTACAATTGAAGAAAAATTCAATCGCCAAAATGATCGTGTGTACGCACACAGCTCTAAAGAAGCCCAGGAAGTCATTGGAAGAGTGGAAAGAGGTCATCACCCTTCCTCAGTGATGGTTTGGTGGGAGTTTGCTTTGATGGCACCACAAAGCTCCATTTTTGTGAAAAAGGAGTTAAAACAGCCGCTAAAAACTATCAGGACGATATTTTGGAACCTGTTGTCAAGCCTCTAAATGATACTCTGTTTGCTGGAAGTCATTGGGTTTTCCAGCAGGATTCCACTCCAGCTCACAAGGCCAGGTCAACTCAGCAGTGGCTGCAAAAGAACATTCCTGAGTTCATCTCTGCCTCAGATTGTCTCTCAGGAAGCCCTGATCTCAACCCACTAGATTATCGGCTTTGGTCCGAACTGGAGAGAATGGCATGACACAGAGTACACCCTAACTTGGAAAGCCTCAAACAATCTCTGGTTGATGACTGGCCACGGAGATTAAATGCCTCTGTCAAGGCAGAAAGGGGACATTTTGAGTAATTTCTTTTTTTTTTACTCTCTATAGATATACAGATAAAATATTTAAATATTTTCAAATAAAGTTTTTAAAAAAATTAATTTTTCTGTTGAAATCTGTATATATTTCCTTGTAACAATATTTATGACAGGACTGGGTACAGTTGATATATAAGATTATATAATTTCAAATGATTAAGAGAAATATTATTTCTAATTAATTTATTTAATTTTTCTTATAGACAATTTTCTAAAAAGTTGGATAAAAACTATCAGATAAAAATAATTGTGTGAACTCTGTCATAGAGGTTAATTGTCAATAATAAATTCCAAATAAATTATTAAAGTCAAATATTGACCATTAATTCCTAATTTACTGTTAATTTTGAATGATACAAAATGAAAAGGCTAATTATAAGGAACTCTTATAAAAGGCTCAGTTCTCCTTATGCATTGAATTAAACTCTCTTAAAATTCTCTGGCTCATATCCAACAGATAATAGCATGCTGAGATAGTATAAAACAATAAATAGCCTTCATAAGTGTTTCTTGACTTTAACATCTTATTAATTATCTGTAAACCTCACTCATTATTAACAATTAAAAAAATGAAAGAGCATGTTTGTTAATCAAATAATATTCTAGAACTTATATTAAAACAGGTCTAAAAAAGATTATGTATGTTGGTTACCTTAATATTGGCAGATTTGGGAACATTTATTCCTGATGCAACTTCAAAATTTCCTTCAATGACACTGCTATTAAAAAAATGTTTCAAATAGGTTGATAATACTCTCAAATCATATAAATTACTTATACGACCTCCATATATTACTACTTCAAAAAGACCTCGTAGATAATCCCACTTAAAACTATCAGAGTACACTGAAAATAAATCATTAATGCATGCATTAATTTAACACAATAAACCAATTAATGTTTTCATATCACCATAACCTTAGACTGGGAATGAACATAATTTGATCTTCGATTTCTGATTATATAATCCAGATGATACTCCATCTAAGTGACATATTCACTCAGTAATTATGGCTTTTTTAAAAGCATTTATTTTATTAATACAAGATAATGATCATAAACATAATAAGGAAGCGAAGTGAATACTGAAAGAACAGGTGGCTGACAAGTTATAGGACAAGCGTTGATAGCTAGATGAGTACCATATATACCATAAGACTGGGATTAGTTGAGTTAAGAAATTCTCCATTTTCTATGATTGCATTATTTAACTTCTTCCTCCTCAAGTTTCAAGTTTTCTGTGGAAAGATGTATGGAAGGTTCTATATGCGTGGTGGGGAAATCTGTTGGATACATTCCTTGTTTTGCGGATTCAAAGCTGAAGGTGGGGGACAAGTCCAACCACCTGCAGTTATAATTTTATTTAAGAACTTTCACGTAATTCTGGCTGTATCCAAGAGAACCGCTTACTGAGCTTTCCTTAACACATCCAGGGGTAATTCCAAGCCGTCCGTACCTGCTACTGTTGACTTTGGGATCAGACCATTGGTTGATATTATTACTGGTGTAACCAATACGCTTTCTAAATGGCACAACTCCTTTAATTCGATCGCCAGTTCTTGATACTTAGGGAGCTTCTCTCCCACGGTTGTGCTTATATTGTTATCATTTGGAATCGCGATATCAATTAACTTTGCCTTCTTTGCTCCTAAATCTATAATAAGGATATCGGGTCTGTTGTGACGCACTGTATGATCCGTTATTATAGATTCATCCCAATACATCTTGAGGGAACCCTTCTGAAGTAGCCTTATCGGATTATATTTATAATATGGCACCTTTTCATCCAACACATTAAGTTACATAGCCAGAGCCTGGTGGAATATTTTTGCCACATTGTTGTGCCTCTGCAGATAATCCATACCAGCGAGTACTCCACATCCAGCTGTGATATATTGAATTGATTCGTACGTCGTTGAACAAAGTCGACATTTATCAGATGTTGTACAGTCTTTTAGAACGTGCTTCCTATATGACCTGGTGGCAATGACCTAATCTTGAATGGAGACTACAAAGCCTACAAAGTATTATTATTATTATTGTTAATTTCTCTTTATATAACTTTTTTATTAATTTCAATAGCAGTTCTTATTTATTTTAAAATGTTTGAAAAATAATAGAAAACTATTTTTGTTTGTAAGTTTGATCTCAAAGTTCATATTGTTGCTTGTATAAAATTAATAATAATAATAAAATTAAGGAGATGTGTTAAAACTAATTTTATTAATATCGATCATATGTTATATCGATTATTTGAATTAAAAACAAAAGGAAATATATATAACACATATGTTCAGTTATAACCCTGTTCTTTCTATGAAGTTGTGTTGTTAGTTTAATAAAGATTGATTTTGCTTAGTTTAAAAAAAGGCTTGTGATTTATTCAATGTTTCACACTTAATAAAAAAACCCATAAACCATTAATAAAATCAACAGAGAAATCAGATTGTTCAGAAATCACATTTGTTTTTTCTCTAAAATATCTCTAACCAATCATGAACAGGGGGTGTCCATCACTGGACCCACCCATATCCATTACTGGCTCTCCATACTTTTATGTAAAATAATTATATTTTTGTGTTTAATAAGTCAAAAAACGATGAGAAATCGGACGGTACTTTTGTTTTTCTCTAAAATATCTCTTACTAGTCACAGTGACGGATCCAGGAATTTTTTCAGGGGGGCGCACCTCTATACCAGGTGCTTCCCCCACCCCTATCTGTTCCCCCACCACTACCTATCTCCCCCCATTCCTTAGCTGAGTTTAGCCGCTCAAAAGTTCTCTTTAAATATTTTTAACAAAAGCAAACTCTATGTTTATTAAAAGTAAATTTTGTCTAGTTTATAGTGAAGCAACTTAATTACTTAAATTAAATAGATTTTTTGTTATCACTTCCAATTCAACAAAAAACGTGGCTTACATGAAAAATCACAAAACTTTAGTTCTCTACTTTTCTGCTGAAAATCGAACCATTGTTTGTATAAACTTGTTTGTATTTATTGATAGAGTGCTACCAGTGGGTAGTTTCTCAACAAGTCATTTCATGTTTTTATTTTCTGTTATCAAATTTACTTAATGTATTTAATACAGTTGTAAATATCATGAATAAATAAATAAAGTATTTATTGAGTTCAGCTATCACTCCTTTAAATATTTCCCTCTGCTTACGAGACACTTTGCATACGGCTTTAGACATGTAAAAAACTGAATTGCTGACACGGGTCACTAAGAGAAAACTTATGCAGCCAAAAAATTCTGATTTATCTGATCTTTTTTTTTTTCATGTATTACTACTAAACAGTGTATCAAAGCAAAAAAGTATTCTTTGAGAAATTAAAGAACGCCAAATTCTGCCACAAACGAGTACCTAAACTTAATAATTTGACTAAGTGACATGATCCATAACCACGGTCAGTGAACGCTAATTTTTACTGACATTGTCAAAATCTGAGAAAGATAAATGGCCCTGCAGCTTGGAAATGAATTCTCTAAGAACAAAAACTCAGAATAATTTCTGATTCCGATCATAATCAGATTCTGATCAAATTGGAGACCAAATAATTAGTATCTTGCCTCATGAAAATAGTACCCAACAGCAGCTATTGTAAGAAAAGAACAACACTTTCTAATGAGAAATGTACAAATTATTATCATGACCAATATTATGAATCGCATGGATTGTTCAAGGAGACTATAGTGGCTTAAGGTTACAATGCATCCATATCTATTGGAACTGAATAATAACTGGGTCCGAGAGAAAACTCATAATTTCTTGTACTCGAATTAAAGGTTGTTCGAAAGAATATATGAAGTTCATATGTTTTTAAATAAATTTTCTTCCATCATGTATTTCACCAGCAAGATGTATTTCAGTTCGGAGTCAATAGGAACAAACTGCGACAGGAGCACAATCCTTCGCATCTCACGGCAACCCAAAAACTACATCACTCTTTTCTTTGAGTAGCTGCTTTTTAGAACTTTTCTGGAATTTTTTGTCCACCATCCAGGGCAAGGGTCGCCCCCTTGCAGAATTCGGTAGTGCCAGTCACGATAATATTTCTTTTTATATATTACATTAGAAAATTCGTCTATGAAGATGAATTTTTCCTAAATTTCTCCATTCCATTTTTCCAAAAGCTCCTTCCTCCCCTCTCTTACTAACTTGAGGTGTTCCTCAGAGATCTTTCTTTCCACCAGTCCTTTTCTCCATCTATATTAACAACCCCTTGATCCCATCCACCATTAACAATACCCCTTATATGCTGATGACTTTCAGATCCAGCTATGATTTAAAGCTAAATGTTTAGAATACCAAAGCCAATCTCATTGGGTCTAAGCATCTTCTTAATTTCCTTCCTCATTATCCTCCACTCTACCTTAATGAACTTAATAAACTCTACCTATTCGCTTCCAAACTTGCATTAGAAATATTATATAAATTTATATACATTTATCACATCATGTATTATTCAGTCAATGTTTCGGCTTCAGGAGGCATTTTCAAGATCCTGCAAACTAATTTTAATTTAGTTGTTATACTTTGAACTATATTATTATAAAACACATGTTAATTTTATAACAATCAGTTACATACATAGTCCAAATTCTATTTTATAAATTTTTTTTATTACATAACATTTTAGTTTAAATTAATGCAAAATTAATGATCTACCTACCATGCACAGCTTCATAAAATTTCTTAAAACGTATCATTATAATATAATTCAAGTCATTGTCATTCTTTTATTTCATCGAATGTCGTTTTTTTGCTTCTAAAATTTATAAATAATTAATTAAAATAAAATGTTAAAATTTTTATGAAAAAAAAAAGAATATTATTGATCTCAATTTATGTACCTCTTTCATAGAAGATATTAAATGTATTCTTCATTGCTAATGCATTCATACAAGACTGGGTTTATTTTGTACAGAGTGGGATGGAGGGGTTAGGGATCCATTGTTTTATCTTATCTGTTTTATTTGAAGTCATATTTCAGTATATTATATTTTAATTTTGTCTATTGCACTAGCATAAAAAGTGTTTAGATTTTCAACATCCGTTTGTTGCTTTACAGATTGTTTGAGGTTTTTGGTAATAAATATTGACTCTATTATTCTCCATTTGTTAATATTCTGTTCTCTATGTAGAACCGACGCTGTACCGAAATCAAATTTTATGTCCATTATTTGTGGTATGCTGTGATAATCCTGCAGTTAATTTTGATTTTGTCATTTTAGACCTGCAATTATGTTTATTTTGTTGTATCCTCCGTTCAAACCATTGTGAGGTTTGTCCGTAATATACTTTATTTTCACAATCCTAGCATTTTATTTTATATATATTAATAAATTTTCCTGAGTAATAATATCCTTAGTTCTACCGTATCACATGATAATGTCTACCAAAAGTAAAAGATCAAGAAGTCTAGGTAACAACAGCTCTCAAAGCTCACCTGTAAAGGCCAAGGCGTTCAAATAGGAAAACACCACCATCAACACCTGGCTGACCAACTGAAAACAATAACGATCCACAACCTTGTACTTCAACACAAACAACAGATGAATCTCCGTTCTTCACCACCAACCCATACCAGCTATTATCGTCAGAAGATACTATGGAAGCAGAACCAACCCCTAGAGAGCCAAAACCACCTCCAATATTTGTTAGAAATATTAAAAATTTTCATTTATTTTGTCAGCATCTCAAAAAAATAATTGACAACGGTAAATATGTAAGTCATAGTAGAACCAATGACACCAAACTAATGCCGGATTCTCCGGATACATACAGAAAAATTGTGAAATACTTAACTGATTCAAAGGCTGAAATTCACACTTATCAGTT